TTTTTTTTGGATAACACAGAATATTTTGGGCAAGAGGAAAGGGGCTCTGGGACCTCTGCACATACCTTCTGTTATAGCCACACGACCAGAAGAGGACACTGCTCAATTCACTTTGAGCCCAGGCTGCAAGGAAGCAATTGTTTAGGGTGTCTTGAGAGAGCACAGGCTCCCTGGCCCTCCCGCTGTTTCTTTAGAACTGATTGTAGATCTGGTTCTGTTTCAGCTTCAGTTTCTGGGTCTGATGGCCCAGGGCTCTGATGAGAAAGGGGGCCAGAGGGAGCCTTCCTTCTGTGTTGGATTATTGGCGTTCTAGGTGTTGGGGTCATTCAGGTCGGCCGATTCTTACCATTGAGAGCACCCTGTAGAAGGTATCAATCAATCTTTTTCCAAGCCTTGCATATTTACAATGCTGTGAAACTAAAAGCATGAGAGTTTTACCCATTCCCTTACGTGAACTTTCACCAGACCTATCACATTGGTTTTTTTTGTGTGCATTCTTTTTTTCTAGGGCAAAATTTAGGGTGTCGTAATGTCCGTGCTCTGGTCCCCATGAGGGGTGGGCTTAGGGATCTGGCCCATTAAAGTTAGCTATTTTGAGGGAACACCGCCATTGAGGACATCATTGTCTTTTACCTGGAGAAGGGCAGCAGTTTCCTAATTAGTCTCACTGCCTCCCATCCATCCGCTCTCCACACTGTAGCCAGGATGATCTTTCTGCGAAGACATATGCCCCTACCACTGCTCTGTGTGTGCAGGTCCTTATGGGAGAATCCAAAGTCCTTCCTGGGGCTTGCCCTGCCCTTTCTGACCTCTAATTTCTCCCCTTGTGGCCTCACCCCCTCACCCTCTTCCCCTTGCACTCTGGGCCCTAGCTGTGCTGTACTTTTTCCACTTCATCTGCCACAGTGGCATGCATAGAAATATAATGCAAGTCACATACGGAAGTTTCTGAGAGCCATATTTTTTTTTAAAAAGGAAATAGAAGATAATTTTAATAATATATTTTAACCCCAAATATCCAAAGTATTATCAGTGCAACATGCATTCAGTATAAAAGCTATTAATGAGATACTTTGCATTCTTCTTTTTTTGTACTAAGCTAATGAGATGTGTTTCAATCTGACTTTTTTTTGTGCTAAGTACCACCCTTATAGCACATTCAATTCAGACTATATCTTTAAAATTTTTTTTTAATATTTATTTTTGAGAGAGAGAGAGTGTGTGTGAGCAGGTGAGGGGCAGAGAGAGAGGGATACATAGAATCCAAAGCAAGCTCCAGACTCTGAGGTGTCAGCAGAGCCCGATGCAGGGCTCAAACCCACCACCTATGAGATCATGACCTGAGCCCAAGTCGGACCCTTAACCAACTAAGCCACCCAGGTGCCCCCAGACTATATCTTTTAAACGCTCAGTAGCCACATGTGGCTAATGGCTCCCATATCAGATGGCACAGCAGTCGTAGGTCATGCTCTCTCTCACCTCTAGACATTCACGCCTGCTCCATCCTCTTGGAACACTCTTCTCCTCCTTCATCTGATGAACCAATCAAGTCTCACTTTAAAACTTATTTCCCCTATACTCTCTCCCTGAGCCCTCTAGACTAGACAAGATGCCTCTACTTTGAGCTCCCAGAGAATCCTGTACTTCTACCGTAACACATTACCATACTTTGTTGTAAATGCTTGTTTTATTTTTAATGTTTATTTATTTGAGAGAGAGAGCACACATGAGTGAAAGCAGGGGAAGAGCAAAGAGAGAGGGAGACAGAGGATCTGAAGTGGGCTCTGTGCTGACAGCAGAGAGCCTAATTCGGGGCTCGAACCCACGAACTGTGGGATCATGACCTGAGCTGAAGTCGGATGCTCAACCGGCTGAGCTATCCAGGCGCCCCTGTAAATGCTTTTAAATGTTCTGTCTTCCTGTTGAACATGGCTTTGTGAGAACAAAGACCTTGACTGCCTCGCTTACCTGTATCACTAGCAAATGTGTGTTCAATGAGTGAACCCTCTGCCTCTGTCTTAGGACCTCTGGGTGTGTTCTGTCCCTCAGATATTGTGGAAGGAAACCTGAAGTCTATCATGAGGCTGGTCCTTGCCTTGGCAGCTCATTTCAAACCTGGCTCCAACAGGACAGTGAGCCAAGGACGGGACTCCAGAACCCCTCTGCAGAGTCACCAACCACACTGTGCCACTGCTGTGGCCCAGGGGGCAGCTGCCGCTCTGGCCGACGTGTGTCATGACATGTCACGGTCGGGACGGGATGTCTTTCGATACAGGCAGAGGTAAGGGTAGAAATCTGGGGCTGGGAGCTTGTTCCTCTCTGAATTTCCTCCTTTAAATGATACTGTGCAGTAGACAGAAGGATCACCCAAACAGCCCCACGCCGCAGGAGAGAGCAAGGAGTGTAGGTCAGAGAGGACACTCCACGAGAGAAGAGCCCTTTAATTAATTCATGTTTTATTTTAGAGAGAGAGAGTGCATGCATGTGCACGCAGGGGAGAAGGGCAGAGAGAGAGAGAGAGAGAGAGAGATGTTTTTAAATATTTATTTTTGAGAGAGAGCGAGAGGGAGAGAGTGAGAATCCCAAGCAGGTTCCTCCACGCTGTCAGCCCAGAGCCCGAAACGGGGCTCAAACTCACAAACCGCCAGATCATGACCTGAGCCAAAATCAAGAGTTGGACGCTTAACCAAATGGGCCACACAGACGCCCCGGGAGAGAGAGAATTTTAAGAAAACTCCACACTCAGCGCAGAGCCCAACATGGGACTTGATCCTATGACCCTGGGATCATGATGTGAGCCAAAATCAAGAGTCGGATGCTCAATCGACTGAGCCACCCAGGCACCCTGAGAAAAGCCCTTTAATATTTTTAAAAAAATTTTATATGTTTTTATTTATTTTTGAGAGCGAGTGAGAGAGACAGAGAGAGAGACAGAGCACGAGCTGGGTAGAGGCAGAGAGAGAGGGGGACACAGAATCTGAAGCAGCTCCAGGTTCCAGGCTGTCAGCAGAGTCCAGCGTGGGGCTTGAACTCACAAACTGCGAGATCATACCCTCAGCCGAAGTTGGAGGTTGAAACTCCTGAGTGACCCAGGCACCCTGAGAAAAGCCCTTTTATTTATTTATTTATTTTTTTAAACGTTTTTTATTTATTTTTGGGACAGAGAGAGACAGAGCATGAACAGGGGAGGGGCAGAGAGAGAGGGAGACACAGAATCGGAAACAGGCTCCAGGCTCCGAGCCATCAGCCCAGAGCCCGACGCGGGGCTCGAACTCACGGACCGCGAGATTGTGACCTAGCTGAAGTCGGACGCTTAACCGACTGCGCCACCCAGGCGCCCCGAGAAAAGCCCTTTTAAAAGAGATGTTTATGTTGCAGTTAGCAGAAAGTAAAGGAATCACATTTGTAATTTTTTGCTCTGATGCCCAGATTTTTAAATATATGCCTTTGGCACGGCGTGTTTTCTGCACCGGGAGATGTGTGGGAGCAGTGTTCAAGTCATCTGGGGGAGTCTCCCTAGAATGTATGCTAAAGCCAGCCTGTCCTGAAGGAAGTCATGGCAGGAAACATTTTGGGGGTTATATGTCTGCTGGGAGAGAGCAAGACCCTGAGGTGTTGCAGACCCTAGGGAAATCCATCTGTCTGTCTTCCCTGCTGGGTGTCGAGGGTCTTTAAGGCCGGGGCTTGGCCTTACTCCTCCTTCTTCCCCTGGCACTCTCAGAGTGGCCACTACCGGTTCTCGTTGAGTGGACCCAAACTGAAAGACTGATGCCCTCTCCTTTGCTGGCATCCTCCGGCTTTAGGAACAACAGCGTGGACGAGGAGATTGAGAACCCGTACTGGAGCGTGCGAGCCCTGGTGCAGCAGTATGAAGGGCAGCAGAGGTCCCCGTCTGAGTCCAGCTGTACCAGGTAAGTGCGGCGCCAACTTCCCACCACTGCCGTCCTGGTTAAAGGTGGAATTCTGGGGGATTCTCAGCCTCAGGTAGCAGCACAACAGGCTTTAAGGCTCCTAAACCTTTTCTCTTTCCCTCAGTTTGTTTGACTTCAAAGGGGGTAGTCTTCGGCACTGCTTTGCGGTTTTGTGCTGGCAGGCAGGCAGGGAGGGTGGAGTGTTGGTAAATTTCCCACACAAGGAAGCTTTTTGTGCAGAGCCTCAGTGTCACTGCTTAGGTATGTCCACATGGGGGCCTGTGAGGGCCCAGCCCCTGGTTCTGATACTTGCGTATCAGCTGCCCCCGTTTATGACAGCCAGTTCCACAGCATGGCCTTTGCACCTGAGCTTAACTCTAAGCATGGCCTGAGAAGGCTGTCTAACACTTACAACAAGAGAAAAAACTGAGCAGAGTTGTCTGAGAGCATGAGAATGTTCCAAACTTTCATTTATAGGGCTAGGAATTGCAGCAGATTAGTGTGAATTTGAGTGGGCTAAGATGTTTGTGACTCTAGCAGAAAGGCCATCTGTATCTCTTAGAGCCAAGTGCAGAGACCAAAACAGGACACAGTGCTCTAATAAAAGCCTGATCGATGCCAAGTGCAGTGGCAGAAAAAGACTACTTTCCTAGCTCATGTAAATCATGCTCCATAAATACATCCCCAGAACATGTTAGCTTATTTACTAACTTCATTTCATAGCTGAATCATACTTAATTTATGCTCTTATGACCTTTTCTTTCCTACCTCAACCCAGCTTAGCCTGTTCTCATTACAACTAAGTGTTCCTTGTCTTACATGTATCTTATGTGCATTTGTCTTCTTCCTATTTCTTTTCCACATAAAATTCTGTCTTAGATTGATAGACCATTTCTTAATTTATTGCAGTCACATGGAATTCTTCCCAGCACTTCACTAAACTGATAATCTTGCTCAACTTTAATTTTCACCTTTAATAGATTGCCTTTTTATTTATAAAATTTACATAACATAAAATTAGCCATTAATCATTTGGAAGTGTACAATTCAGTGGCATTTAGTACCTTCATCATCTTGTGCAGCCGTCACCTCCATCCAGTTGAAAGACATTTTCATCACCCCAAAAGGAAACCCTGTACCCATTAAGCAAGGGGTGTGCTAGTAGGGAGAATCTGAGCCATTTCTTCCTTGCTTGCTCCTTAGACTATCACTTGGTACAGAATCAAAGGACATTTCATTGTATAATGAGATCTATAGCTTCCTGCATGGCTACAGGCCTTTCACTTTGTTGTGCCTGCCAGTGAGAGAGAGAGAGAGA